TCTCAAGTCCACCTCGAGCTAGCACTGTGGTCAAAGACTGTGTGAAGGCTTGTCTTAGGTCCACTTATCAATTTTTGTTTGAAAACTGCTTTGATTTGTACAGTCGAGAATTCCAAGTGGACCCACAAGAACAAAAGGGTCATGATGGTCAGGGACGAGAAGGAGCTCCAGATGACCATGGTCCGAGCCTGCATAACCTTGATTTTTGGCATAAACTAATAGCACTTATGGTGTCTGTGATAGAAGAAGATAGAAATAGTTATGCTCCAGTATTAAACCAGTAAGTTATAGCTATTAAAATAATCTTTAGTTTTAGTCTAACAGGTCTAGGATCATAAACCATTTTACTCTACGTAGGGAATCTGCAATACTGAACCTCTGAAATGTACCTAGACAGCTGTTCTACAGCAGATGAAAAGACTAAACTGCATGCACATTAGGACTTGTATTTAAAATATTTAATTATTCCTAGTAGCTCTTACGTTACTGAAATGCTGAATGTTGTATGTTAATAACTACTGTCCAGTAATGAAACACCTTTATCTAACTGATTGTAATATATTTATGAAACAGTTTTATCTAGGTGACTGAGATCATGTGTTGCTTCTGAATAACGTATATATTTGTTGAATCAATAAATTGTAAAATCATAAATAATATTCAACATTAAACTGATACACAGTTAAAAACATTTTATTTAGGCCTATCTATGGCCTTCAAAAAGTAACGTCGAAACAGTTTTATCTAGGTGACTGAGATCATGTGTTGCTTCTGAATAACATATATATTTGTTGAATCAATAAATTGTAAAATCATAAATAATATTCAACGTTAAACTGGTACAGAGTTAAAAACATTTTATTTAGGCCTATCTATGGCCTTCAAAAAGTAACGTTGAAACATGTAGAGTCGTCAACTTTCTAAAGGCCATAGATAGGCCAAAATAATATGTTTTTAACTGTGTACCAGTTTTACGTTGAATATTATTTATGATTTTGACTTTATACACAAGTGCCAAAATACTATAGTTCAGTAAATTGTATATGTATTTGTGTAACAGATATGCAATCTTGTATGAATAATTCTATCTGCATTTAGTAATTCCATCTGTTATTATGTTCCATCAACTTTTTATGTACATGTCAAATTTATAGTAGTGAACATAGAATGTTTTCTTTTGTACTGTACCATAACTTTACCATATCGTATTTCAGGATACTGTAGAGAACTGAATGACAGTTAATTTGTGTAATGACTTTGTTATTCCAGGTTTCCCCAGGAACTTAATGTAGGCCAGCTTAGTGCTTCCACAATGTGGAGTCTGTTTGCTGTAGACATGAAGTATGCTTTGGAAGGTGAACATATGTAGATATTTTCTTTTTTGCCACTCAAAACTAGGCCCGGCATAGCCAGGTGG